GTGTGTGTGTGTGTGTGTGTGTGTGTGTGTGTGTGTGTGTGTGTGGGCGCGCGTGCGTGTGCGCGTGCGTGCGTGTGCGTGTCTCACCGACTCCAGTAGCCAGGCCGGGTCATTTGTCGGGTCATCAAATCCAATCCGCACCTTGAGCAGTTCTCCCACGTTCTCGCTCATGTCCAACTGTAACACAGAGGGCGCTGTGAGAGGCAGGTGGCGCGCCGCATGGTGGAGCCACGATCGTTTATTACGAGCGTTGATATCGCTATAACCACAGAACGTACCGCGCTGTTCCACCGCCAAATGAGAGACAGTTGTATCTGCAGTACAGTTGCGCAGTTACATCAAATTTTCGTTGTCGATGTAAGCAAAACACCATTCTAAATTTGTACTACGCCATTAGCAGCTAACCATCATTAGCTATGGAGCGTGTGTGTGTGACGGGGGTAGAGGAGGTGTGGGCGAGAGGTGAGTGAGTCATCAGATGGCACGGAGAGCAGCGTACCTCAAACGTAATATTGCCTGGCGCGGAATCATCGACACGTGGCGCCACCTTAACGAGCGCCGAGGCACTGTTTTCTCCGACGAATTGTACGAGTAGCGTGGCGGTGGCCAGGTTGCCGCCGTCCACGTGACCCGCTCCCGTCACGGCCGACACGGACCAGGTGCCTTCTACCGAGCAAAAACACAAGCGTTCGGTTATTTATTTCCCCTCCCCGTGCATTTATTTATCTATTCATTACAGCGTCTTGGGCGTAGGCTTCGAAGAATGTTGAGGAATGCAAGAGAGTATTGAGGAATGCCGAGGAATGTTGGTGAATATTGATAAATATTAACGAATATATTGCATGGCAGCCTACCATAGTTAAGACTGTGCTCGGACATAATGAATAATTATATTTTTTATTTTTATATAATAATATATTTATTTTTGCCTCATCGTTTTTTTACATTTTCCAACCATCTACACAATGTAATAGCGTATGTTAGCCCACACTGCTCTGTAATGACTTTAACCATTCGATCGTGTCTCTATCAGACAGACTCTGCCTGTCTACGCTGCGTTCTACGTTCGCAGCCATATTCCCCCTTATGCACGACGACAACATGGCGGCATACTTGTAGTAAAGAACATGCAGTCCTCGGTAGGGGGCACTGACACCTCACTCTGTCGTACAGCGGTGCGCGGAAACTTAAAGTCAACAACCTCTGCCCAGCGGTCCTCGCCATCGTGGCCGCCCAGCCAACTGTAATCAGACACAATAGCGACGTGTCTTGATTAGATCATCATTGGGTTATTATGTCAAGAAATTATCAACTCTCAATAATGATAAATTATAATTTTTTATCAATATTTATTAATTATTGAATGCAATGCCATTTTAATTCATTATGAATTATTATTTAAATGGTAATGTTAGATCATTATTAATTATTATCGATATAATAATAACCCCTAAATAATATTAATATTGATATTAATATTAATTAATTAAAATTGATTAATTAATAACCATCTATTGATTAGATTTTACGAGTATCAATAATACGATGCTTAGCAGGAATACAGTCACAATTACGACGGTCAGAGCAATTAGATACTAGAAGTATCATCGCGGAGATGCGTAGTTACAAGGCACGTACTCGTCCAGGTAGAAGTATGACTCTACAGGAGCGAACTGCTCTTCCTTCAAGATGATTTGCTTCAGGTGCCAAGGTCCTCCGGGATTCTTCCGGATCTGTATCGAGTCTATGTCTCCTAGATCCACGGCCTCGATCGCGAATATGTCCACCTGGCAGCCAAACATAGAGAGGTATTCTCACGAATTTTGCCACAGCCACTTGCTGCTGCCAGACTGTGGTCGACGGTTTCTAGTTGCTCAAGCTAATTTTAATTTCAATTATTATGTTAAAATTTATGTAATTTAATTAATTAATAATTTTATAAAACGATCGGCGTGCTCCACGGTGACGTGTGTAAACAACTAAGATCGACATCCTCGATAATAACAATCATAATATATCATATGTAAGGATGATAAATCGATTGAATGATAAATCTATCCCCGCATCTTAAAAGCTGATTTAAAAAAAGAATCGATCCCAACATCAATCAGGACACGATGATCGCCAGAAGGTAAATCATTCGAAACCGAAAGGTAACAAAACACTTTACAAATAACAAACAAGCCCGCGACCTCTTCGCCGCCGGGAACTATTTTTCTCACCTGGTTTCTCTGGAAAATCACGTGATGTCCGATGCGGCAGAGCAGACGCAGGCCCGTGTCGCCGCGCGTGCCGTGCAGCGTGATGTAGACGTTCGGGTCTACGGGCGTCTCTTGCTGGCTTCCCGTGTGCACGCACAACCAGTAGTTCATCACTGACAACAGCGCACAGACGTGAGCGTCGCTCATGTCTCTATATATGTGTATGTATTTATATATGTATATACATATATCAAGAGCGTATTAAGTATGATACTTAATACTTAACACTACTCATAGGCCTACTTAATACGCGCTTGATATATATGTATATCAATATGTATATCAATATATATATATATATATATATATATATATATATATATGTACTACGTACGTA